CTAGTAATTTGTCAGTAAAAAAGAGGATCCGTTGGCGTCAGACAACAGCGTCAACAAAAAATAGATGAGAAAAGAAAACTATCTAAACAGTGACAAGAAAATAGGTTGAACACATAATATGTTTAAACTATAAGATCCTGAGGCGTGTTACAGTTGTGATATATATTTTTTTTATTAGAAAAAGATGTCGCATCCACCAAAAGGTTATTAGCGACAGAACAAAATATAAATAACAAAGAAACACCTACAGATTGTACAAAATGTTTATGGATCTGAGATAATTCACTATATTATCACAGGAACAGTTTGGACCTAGAGCCTGTGGTAGAGCGTTTTGGATCTTGTAGCGCTGTCTTTCTTGGTCATATTTACTACAAATTGTTAAAAAGTGTTCGACTGTTAATTGGAAGTTACAATGATCACATATAGGTGGATTTTTCTTTGTGAAAAGGTAGGAGTGCGTTAATCTGGTATGTCCTAGACGTAAAGGCGCAACCGCAATTTGTTCTCGTCTATTGCGCGACGATGGAAACCACTGAGACACATTATTTTTAATTTTGATTTAGACTGGAATTAGTTTGAGATCACTCATTTCGTCACAAACACAACACTTTATTTATAAAATAAGCTTTTAAGTAACTGGAAACACACTTGTCTATCGGCTCCGACAAATCACCTAAAATTGCCTCTCGTGCAGTCCTGTCAGCTTCTTTATTTCCTGTTATTCCAACGTGTGAGGGAACCCATAAAAATTGGACGCTTCTTTCATGTTCATGAGCTTGGGAAAGCTGGTATTTTAGCAACTTTTTAAAAGGATGTTTCGGAAAAATGTGTTTTAATGAGTTTAGAGAGCTAGGGAATCTGTTATGATCAGGGCTTTTGTGAGTGTAAGCTCGTTAAGAAGTTTCACAGCACGGTATATGGCGTAGAGTTTAGCTGAATATGTGCTGCATGCTGATGGTAAACGAAAAAGAAGATTGTATTCTGAAGAAATGATTGATGCCCCCACTTCGTCTTCGGATTTAGATGCATCTGTGTAGATTTTATGGTAGTCGGGGTACTTATTTATGAGGGCCTCAAACTTGGACCGAATCAAAGAATGGGCTAGAGATGCATCACAAGTTGGTATATCGATCAGCCAAGGCTCGAGGTATTTAATATTTTCCAAGCAAGGTTCGAGTTTTCCGTGGAGAAAACCTCCGGAAAATTAATGTTTAGGTTTTGAAGAATGAATTTAATTCTTTCGTAATTATGTTTTTTTTAGTATAGCGGATATCTTTTAATAAGTATTGTACAACTGATTGGTCTTTAAGTTTGTCTCCTGTAGACAAAAAATATCTGGAAAATATTCCGATAAAAGAAGTTGTAGCATAGGAAAACGATGGAAAAATCTATTAATGTTCTATTGAAGTATCGAGTTGAATGTTGTTAACAGATTCGGAGTTAGATGATACTGAACAATTGTCTACAGAAGAGTTACTATCTAAGTCAGAAATCTCTTTCCCTAAATGGTTGTGTAGTTTTTTTTTTGAATTTTTGTAAACTTGATTTTTGTAGATCTATCATTTGCATATTCATAGCTGCTTTGTAAAAGATGGAGTAAACCAGACATACCAGTTGTAAATTCTTTGACGACGCTAATAGTATCGGGGGACTCTTGGACATTATCAATCAGTAAGGACAATTGGTGGAAATTTAAATCGAATGGTGGGGTATGATTATTAATAAAATTTTCAAGAGTTTCCCCTGTAGATGGGATTTTAGATGAGCGCGGTTTTTTTGGTTTAGAGTGTTTGGGTTTTGCAAATAGATTTTCTGATGAAATTGCTGAGTCTGAAGGAGGCGTGTTGATATCACCAATACTGCTTTTTATGGAATAACTTGCGTTTTCGTAATTGCTATTAGAGTTTTCACTTAGATGCTGTCGCTTTATTAAATTTGGAAGTACTGGAGCAAACTCATTGGTAGTGACAGAAGTCGAGCTTAAAGTTTTATTTGTAAGATCGGTTGAAATGGTTGTTTCAGAAAATTGTGGTGATGTATAAGTTTTATTAGAATTTTCTGCAGTTGTATCTAAAGGAAAAGCAGCTGATAGATTGGAGGATATTGCTTCCGAAGTTTGTGAAAACGGTATTGCCGCTGAATGAGGTTGATGGAAAGTATTGATATAAGTATGAGTATAAGTAATTTCTTTGTCATGAAGATTTGTAGGTGTAGGTGATATTCTAGGATTTTATAATGGATAACTTGATGACTGCTGGGTGTTTGGTAACTTGTGTAGTATACTTGTTAAAGCTGTTTGATTTGGTACTTTATTGTTTGACTTAACATGAGTTGATTTCGTTTACCATCATCACTGGCTCGACAACCCTTTTTGGGTCTTGGCCTGTTCAAGGATTCTTCTCCATTCTGACCTGTTTCGTGCTTTTTTTTTTCCAGTTTTTAATTTTTAATGTTGTTATATCATTTTCTATTTGTTCTACGTATCTCAGCTTCGGTCTTCCTCTTGTTCTTTTTCCTACTGGCACTTGTTTGAATATTTTGTTTGGTATTTTGCCTTCTTCCATTCTTTCCACATGTCCAATCCAACGTAGCCTTCCTATTTTAATGAATGTTATGATATCCGGATCCTGGTATATGTTGTATAGTTCAAAGTTATACCTTCTCCGCCAAATCCCGTTTTCTTTTGTGCCCTTATATATGTGTCGCAAGATTTTTCTTTCAAAGGTGGCTAATAACGTTTCCTCCCTTTTAGAGAGTGTCCAGGTTTCTGAACCGTATGTGAGTACCGGTCTTATTAAGGTTTTGTATATTTGGCATTTTGTTTTTCTGGAGACGTTATCTGATCTTAGTTGCCTAATTAAGCCATGGTAACATTTATTGGCAATAAATATTCTCCTCTTCACTTCCTCTGCAACGTGGTTATCAGACGTAACTAGGGATCCTAAGTATGTAAAGTTTTTTACCGCCTCAATGTTGTATTCTCCTATTGTTAAATTTGGCAGCTGCCTTATTTGTGCGTTTTTATTTGCAGGCATATATTTTGTTTTTGTCTGATTGATTTTAAGACCACTATTTTTTGCAGCTCGTTCTATTTGAGTGAATGCCTCTATCATTTCTCTTCTTGATCTTGCGATTATGTCAACATCATCTGCAAATGCTAGTACTTGCACGCTTTTATTAATTATTGTTCCTTGTTGTGTTGTGTCTCTTATTATTTTTTCAAGTATGATGTTGAATAATATGCATGATAGAGCGTCTCCCTGGCGTAGTCCCTTCTTCACATCTATTGTTTCCGTTAATTCGTTTTGTATCCGGATTTTACTTTCTACTTTTAGTGTTTCTTTTACCAATTCTATTAGCTGTGTTGGTATATTAAATTCTTTCATTGCTTTTGTTAGGAATTCTCGGTTTATATTGTCATATGCGCTTTCGAAGTCTATGAAGAGATGATGTGTGTCGATGTTATATTCACTTGTTTTTTCAAGGATCTGTCGCAGAACAAATATCTGGTCTATTGTTGACTTCTGTCTACAGAAGCCACATTGGTATTTGCCAACTATTTTTTCCATCATTATTTTGTATACCGCATTCAACAGCGTGATTCCACGGTAGTTTTCACATTCTAACTGGTTTCCTTTTTTATGTAGTGGTACAATAATGCCGCTATTCCACTCCTTTGGTAGCTGTTTATTCAACCATATCTTTCTTATCAGCTCATGTGTGGCTTTAAGTAATGCGTCTCCTCCTTCTTTCAGTGGCTCCGATGATATTTGATCCGATCCCGGTGATTTGTTATTCTTTAATTTGTCCACTGCTGTTCTAATCTCTGCTATTGTCGGTGGACTCTTTGCTCTGTTGTCTGCTTGGTCTAACGGTATATCAGGGTTCATCTCCGTCCTATTCACCCCAAGCTTTTCCTTAAAGTGTTCTGTCCATCTTCTAAGTATCTCTTGCTGTTCTGTCAATATATTAAATTAGAGTTGATTCCGTTACTGAACTGTTATTGCATTGGGATGATATGTGACCTCTATTTTTGCAAATAAAGCAGGTGAGTGTACCTTGTGACAAAAATATGCGGTAAGGTGTTTGGTCAAAATTTATTAGAATAGAATCTGGAATGTCCTAAGGGCCTTCTTCCAGTGGGGGCTTCTTCCCATATAATTTAGCAAGACATTTATTATGAAGTCTATGGACATGGCCAGCCTATCTTAGACGTTAGGATTTAATCCCTTGGACTATGTTGCTCGCTTTATACATCTGCTTGACCTCAACATTTGTTCTCATTCGGTATTGGTTACTATTAATGTCGTGATAAGACCCAAAGATTCTTCTGAGGATTTTCCTCTCAAAACATCTAACATTTCTTTTAGTTTCTTTGGTCAGAGTCCACGTCTCATTGTTGATCTATGTCTTAAGCTGGCTTGGTATTCCCCGATGAAATATTCTAAAAACGGTGTCAGCCTATTTAATAGGATGTTAGATAAGATTTTATATGCCGTATTAAGTAGGGAGATGCCTCTATAATTAAATCACTTGATTTTGTCTCCCTTTTTATGAATGGGGATTATTACACTTTCGTGCTATTTTGTTGGTATTTTCTCTTCATTCCATAAAGGTATTATTAGTTTGTGTATTTATCTATGTAAAATTTCTCCTTCGTACTGAAGGAATTCAGTCAGTATATTGTCAGAGCCTGGAGCTTTTGCGTTCTTAAATTTGTTAATTGCGAAATTAATTATCATAAAACAATAAATAAAAGGGCAAAAAAATACAACTGATTTGCATATAAAATGTTTCGTCTCAAGAAAAAACTGCTTGTGTGTTTCCAACGTGCCACTCATGCAAATGGGGTAGTCCATAGTTAAGTGTAAACAAAAAATTGTGCAACTGGTACTTTAAAATGCATAACGTACAAAAATAGTACACAGAAACTGCCTCCGATATCGCTCACCATGCCGTTCAGGCGCAGGACCGAAACCAAAATCGATCAGGAATCCTGAAACTCTCCTGCAGAACACATTTCACTGTCGGCATCGTTGCTCGTGACGTTCGGTGGGATTGTAAACAACTCCGGAAAAATGGTAAGCAAATATTTGTGTGCTTGACGTTGTGTCAAAATGTGTGCTAGATTTATTTGAGGTACGTCAAATCAAAAAGGTTTGAGTGATGATACAATCGGCTGAAATTTCTTTTTGATATTTCGGTTTCTACATAAAACATGTTTGGAAAATTTGTAAGATAAAATATCATATAGAAATATTTTACATACTGTTTTCTTTTTATTAAATAGATATTTATTTTAAATACTCTCATTTATATATCATTAATTACTTCAGTTTGAGTATATAGTTTATTAATTAAGACATTACCAATAATTTTAAAATCATAATCAAACAACAACAGGTATTTATTTTGTCAGTAGACCTATAAACGGTTAGAACTGAAAAATTAGCAATATGAAAGCATGTTTCATGACACTCTTTGATACAGTTATTTAACAACTATTTTTGATCAATTTGGTAACAATATGTAATAAATAAAGCATACAGAAGGTTAAAAGTCAATTTTTTTGATAAACAATATGAATAATGTAATATCGCTATTTGACTTTAAATGCTAAAAGTGATGAATGGTAAATTCTAAGGAAAAGTGTGAATTTTACTACAAAAAGTTTAGAAAATAAAATAAAATAAGAGTTTATACAGTTATTTTTGCTAATTTGTTGATTAATTATTGCAAAAATGTCATTTTATTTCAAATTCAAATGTCGATTTTTTGAAAGTTAATAATAACTTTTTTCAAAATTCACAAAAAAAACTTTAATTTTGCGTAAGTATGGAGAAAATATAACAAATATTTAGCTACAAAGATTTAAAGAAAGTTCACTGAAGAGCTATTGCATAAATGAAATTTTTTGCATAAACAGAATGCATAAACAATTGGGTCTACATGTATTTTGAAATCACCAAACTTAAGAAAAAGACATATTATTATATCATATAGTGATTAAAAAGTTTGTGTTATTAAACATTTTATAATAGGTTTGCAAAAGTAACTGTGATTTTAAGCTAATAAACATTTAAGATAACTCAGATGCATCAATTTGTAGAAAATTATTTTTTTTGATTCGAAATGTTGGCATTTTAGCACAATTCACAATGTGGCAATTTAACACAAGCTTCAGTGAAAACGCGCCATCGGGTTCTATTTTACGCTAAGGCCTTTACCTCATTCCAAGACTTTCCAAGGCCTCTTATCTCGTCCGTGATGGATCTTCTCCAAGTTTGTACTGGGCAAGCCACTTTTTCTTTTCCCTTGAGGATTCCACTCTAGGGCAGTATTTGCGATATTGGAACTATTTTTTCGGAGTGTGTGACCGATCCAATCCCACTTTCTGGACTTAATTTCATTTTGTACCCTCTTTTGTTCGGTCAGGTGTAGCAGATTTTCGTTTCTGATGGTGTTAGGCCAGAATATACGGACAATTCTTCATAGACATTTGTTAACAAAGACCTGCAGTTTGTCTGTGAGGGTGTTTGTCACTTTCCAGGTTTCACATCCCTAGAGTAGAACAGACATGACATTTGATCGAAATATTCAGATCTTTGTCCTTCTAGTTTACTCGACAGATCTCCAGACAGGGTTGAACGTGCTGAAAGCTTATTGGGCTTTTCGTATCCTCATACGAATATCGTCTTCTGTACCCCTATTTTCTGTTATGTCACTTCCAAGATACGTAAAGTTTTCCACATTTTCAATCTGCATATTGTCGATAGTAAATAGCGTGTTGTTCCTCGCATTTATTCTCATGGACTTGGTTTTACTAATATTGATATTCAAACCTATTTTATTGGCTTTAGTGGAAAGTGTTTCCAATTGGTAAGCCAGATCTTGGAACCTCTGACCCAATAGGCAGATATCGTCCGCGTATTCTAGATCGCTTAGGCGTGTGGTTAACGTCCATTGTATTCCCTTGTGTCGGAGTCTAGTTTGGAGAGAACATAGTCTATAGCTATGTTAAAAAGAAATGGAGAAAGCACGCACAGTCTTAATATGGTCTATGCAGGAGGATTCTGGTCTAAAGCCTGCTTGATTAGCTCGAAACTCAACCTTGTTTGTTAATCTTTTCAGTATGATGGTCGTGAAATTCAGTTATTTACAAAATATAAAATTTTTTTAAATTACCAAACTAAAAATCAAAATGCTGTATTCTTTAAACACAATTTAAATTCTTTTAAAAATCAACTAAAAATCGTTTTAAATAAATAACTAAAGAAAAAGATATCTTATATTGTGTTTAGATTCAGGTATTCTTAGGATTTTTCTTAGCAAAGTAAGTGCTACAAATAAATTTTTTTTATAAAATTTGTATTTAGCAGCTAACATGATATGTCCTAGTCCAGTTCTGATAGAGAGGGACAGACTGTGGACAGCGATGCAGGAACTTGGCTTTCCAAAAAAACTAGTCCGGTTGATACGGATGTGTATGGAACGGTTACGATGTAAGGTGAGAGTTGGACAAAAATACTCGGAGACATTTGAAATAAACAATGGACTAAAACAGGGAGATGCACTTTCACCACAACTCTTCAACTTAGCTCTGGAGCACATAATCAGAAGTGCAAGAATCGAAAAACCGAATACAGTATTTCATCGAGAAGGACCAAACTTACTACTGGCATTTGCAGATGATATAGATCTAATAGGAAACACGCGATTAAGGATGAAGGAGACTTTCGTAAGGTTTGAGAAGGAAGCAGAGAAGATGGGGCTCCAAATCAACGAAAACAAGACGAAATATATGTATATGAGCCGCAATAACCAAAGCAGAGACAGAATCGGTCAGAACATTACCATCGATGACTTTAACTTTGAGCGCGTTAGAGAATTCAAGTATCTTGGAACAACAATAACTGAAGACAATAACGGACCACAAGAAATAAACAACAGGATTCAGGCCGGCAACAGATGTATTTTTGCCCTCCAAAATCTTATAAAATCAAAACAACTAACACGACGTAACGAAGATACAGGTCTATAAAACAATCATACGACCCGTTGTGATGTCTGGAAGCGAAACGTGGACCATAACAAAGGCAAATGAAGAGAGAGACTACGTGTTTGGGAAAGAAAAATCCTAAGGAAGATCTTTGGTCCGGTGCTTGATAAAGCATCAGGACAATATAGGATAAGAACTAATAAAGAGCTTGAAGAACTTTACCCAGACGCCAACATCATAAAAGAAATAAAGTCCAGAAGACTCCAATGGGCAGGACACCTCAGAAGACATTCTGACGATACGAACAGTAAGACTGGTGTGGGAGGAAGTCCCAACTAGAAGGAGATTACGCGGACGCCCTCGTCTCCGGTGGCGAGATAATATAGCAGCAAACCTAAGCACTATGGGCGTGGAGAATTGGATGGAGGTTGCTCCAGATAGAAAACAGTGGAGGCATGTTGTCGAGTCGGCTAAAACCCACGAAGGGTTGTAACGCCACGGAGTAAGTAAGTAAGTAAGTTCTGATATTCCTATGTTTGTTATGTAAATATTGTGCGTACAAATAAAACATAGTCCTCGCGGAAACAATCGTATTGTTTTCTGGTAAAGATGGTGGTGACGGCCGTTCTTACTTTCTTGAAAAATATATTTTATATAAGAGACTTTGGTTTTTAAATTTGGAGTAACAGCGTCTGATACTTGCGATCTGCGAAAATTTAGGTCTGTTGAATTTTGTAAGTCATGGTTATTCTTGCTAGTACCACAGTTCCTAGAAGGACTTTATGGGATGTGACAGACTTATTTAAAGAATGATTCTGAACATCTTTACTATTTGCCTTGTTTTTTAAGGTTTTTAAGGTTTTCTTCGTTTGAAATGTCTCCTTATACTTCTTTATCTGTTGATTCTCTAATCTTTTTTGTTTATTCTTTGCTTGCTTTTTCTCTTTTTCGTTTTTAATTCTTTCCTTTTGTTCCAATTGCTTTTATAAACCGTTGACGTAAGCACGAATTAAGTTTTCTCAGTTTGTCGTTTACCCGTTCTTTCTAGGGTTTTCGGATAGATCAAAAATGTATTAATTAATGATAATATTTGATTGATGTTTTCGTTTTTATTATTCTCCTTATCAGTCCCTGATTCTTGTGTCCTTATCGAATTGTTTTGTTTTACATACTATTGGCACATTGTTCCAATAGAAGCTACGCTGTCATCAACTTCTGTGGATTCTTCTTCTTGAAATTTCAATTTTGCTGAGTATTTAGCGATGTATCAGGTAATTGGTTTAATTTAGGCTTGCATATACCTCACGAAGAGGAAGCCTCTGTCAGAATTATACTTTGCAGTACGACAATTTTTTTTGTCCTCCAATAGCACTGCCCTCATTAGCGGGTTGTTTAGCAAAAAACCAAAGGTATATCTTTTATATTATCCTCGTTTAAAAATATTTCATCGTTGTAATGTACTATTCCAACTATTTCAATAAAGTTTTAATAAATTAAAACATTATTATTATCACTCTTACGCTTCTACAATGTTTAGTGATTACAACATTGGAACCGGTTATTTTTGGGTAGTTTTTGCCTAAACATTTTTATTAGTCGATTGAATTTGGATTCCACTGATGTAATCCAGAAGCTTTAAATCCACTAGAGGCAACTTCAGACTATAAAGAATATACAGCTTCTTTAAGGATTTGTGCAAAATGTTCCTTGAGAAACTTACAAAATGGATTTTTACGACGCAAATCTAACAGTGAATTTTTTCCCATTGCCTTAAGTGGTGTAAAGTTCGAGGAATCTGCAGGCTGTAATATCCTGGTAGAGTTAGGTTAAAGACCTATGAGAACAATACCAAACTTTGTACAAAGAGTACTAAGTTGATAGCTAAGGTGAGTTTGCATGGCTGTACACAAAGGGAATGACAGGAAATTTAACATTTTTCTTTTTTAAATTATGTACGGATGTATTATAATCTATAAAAATTTCTGTTTTCATCCAGCCGTTATTGCTTAATCCGATTCCCCATGTATCTGGAACACTATTAACAACTGCTTTTGACAGACGCTTGTTTGGGAAAATTATTAA